TTTCGCAGATATCGTGGACATTAAGCCACAGAATATGGAGGAGCTGACGGAGGTTATCACTTCGGCGTCGTTCCACCCGAAGGAGTGTAATGTTTTCATGTACGCCTCGTCCAAAGCGAGCATCCGGCTCAGCGACATGCGAGAGGCAGCGCTTTGCAGCAATCATGCCAAGCGTGCGTTCACTTGACCTAATCTTCTGCGAGTTGCTTATCTCCGTGTAGGCTTCGAAGATCCTCCAGACCCCGCCACGACGTCATTTTTCTCCGAAATCATCTCAAGCATCTCGGACGCTCAATTTAGTCCTGATGGGATGCAGATACTCGCTCGCGATTATCTAACGCTCAAGTTGTGGGATATACGGAACGAGGCGCGTCCGATAAAGACTATCAGCGTGCACGATCATCTGCGCGGGAAGCTGTGCGATTTGTACGAGAATGATTGTATATTCGACAAATGGGAGTGTGTTTGGGGCGGGGATGGAAGGTTTGTCGCATCTTTCTATCTTTTTTTGCGTTCTCTGATTCAGGTTCATGGATGTAGGCAAGTTCTAACGGGCTCGTACCACAACTACTTCCGAGTGTACGATGTGGATGGCGACAATGATGTCGTCCTACAGGCGGACAAGGCCGTGCTCAAGACCAAGAAGCCTGGGTATGCTGGTGCGTTTCAAGGCTCTTTTCTTGACCACTGAACTGGAACCTGACGCTGAACGCAGGCAAAGGTGGCAGGAGTCTTCGTGAGGCGATGCAAACCGAGCCTCTGGACTTCAACAAGAAGATCCTGCATGCGAGCTGGCATCCTAGGGAGTCGACCGTTGCCGTACGTTCCGCTGTTTGTTGATCATAGATTGATTTTGATGCGCCCTCCGACAGATTGCGGCCACGAACAGTCTTTTTGTCTACAGCGCGGCCTAAGACGCCGCTGACCGAACGATACAACACATTCCACACCCCCCAGTCATTACTCCATCATCATCATCCACCCTACACCTACACACGCTCGCGTTTGTGCTAGTCACGGACCGGTGCTTGCTCTATGTACGACAAAGACGAAGAAGAACTCAAGAAGACGAAGACGATTTTTAATGGATTTGGTTTGGTTTCACATTTGTTGCAATTGCTTTTGGACGGCCGGGCGGAAAGACTTTTTTTCTGATTATTGAAGAAAAAGTATAGGCAGGGCAGGTACTTATAATGGGTGGGCGGCGTGGAGAAGAAGGAAAGAAAGAAAGGATGAATGAATCAAATTGTACATACATAAATGAAGAACTGTAACTGTAGGCGAGTGGAAAAGGATTTTTTGGATACTTACGAAGTTGGATTGTTGGAGAGGTGCTTGATCTTTTTGTAGATGTGGACGAAAGATATGATTGCCAGGTGCTGTTCGCTGGAAACCGAAACCCGCCTAAGTATGTCCGGAGCTTGCGTGTTTGCTGGCAAGTATGAGCGCTGATCCCGAACGGGTTCCGAGACGGTGATGCTTCAACTTGTGATGCAGATCGCAATGGTAACTGATTTGGGCGTTTGGACGCGGAAGTAAATTCTCACCAGGATTCTGGGAGATTACGCACTTGCCTGGTACGTCTTCTCGAAGACCATTCATGAAACCAGAATAAATGCGAGCACCATTCAAGTTCAGGCTCATGGCGTAAGTAAGTACTCATGTTCCTTTTTTTCTGCCGGATATGGGCGCGTCAGATAGTTGAATAATTCAATTGAACACACAGAAAATGATTTGCACATGCCTTCCCTGACATCTTCTTGTGCAGAATCACTGCCCCGCGCCCATATCAAGATTTTTGTCTCGGGATTTTCCCACTTGAACTTCTCCATCAAGCGTCTTCAATTGCACATAAATTGAACGGATCCAGACCTGGTGGCAGATTCAGCCACTTGGCGAAAACCCATGACCATTCTTCACAACCAGACCTTCGACGCGTACGTTCCCAGCGACGGCGCCCAATTATACGCCATTTCCAACCTCACACCGGCCTACATTCCTTTTGAAACCCTCCAATTGGTCCCGCTCTCCCGCGCCCACACAGAATCCTTCGCATACGCCAAGCGACTCACCCCGCCCTCCATATTCAACCATGTCCTACGATGCTTCTACTTCGGCCTCGCCCTCCTCTACACGGGCTTCCCCTCCCGCACACCCGGCGTACCGCAAATCAGCTTCAACGAGCTAACGATGCGGTTGTACCACACGACTATCCTACACGACCTCGGGATGTCGAATATCCCGGAGGGCATGCACGATCCCTCGCATGGAATGACGTTCGAGCTGCAGAGCGCCGTCATGGCGTATAACCACCTGCACAAGGCGGCGCCTGAGCTCGATGCGTACCAGGTTGGGGACATTGTGGACTGTGGGCAACTCTTCGGCGAATCAGATGTTAATGTCCCTCGGGTCGTTGTTCGACGTCGGGGGGTTCAATGGTACCGCTTTGCCCGGGATGAGTTTCACGAACCTGTGGAATCCCAAGACGGTGCAGGAGATCGAGACGAAGTACCCTCGGGGCCAATTTTACAACGAGGTGTCGAACAAGTTTGATATCGAGTTTGCGGAGAAGCCGAATTGCATGTTGTCGCATTTCCCTGGTGGAGTACGTGTTGCGATATTCTCCTCGAGACGAGTTACTTACGCTGATTTGCAGCTTCCGGAACTCTTGGTCGATACGAGGGTTGGACCGATTGTACCGCCTGCAAACAACCCTCGCCATCGTCGTGCGATTCCGGACCCTACTTGCAAGTATAGACTTTTGTCCAAGTAGTATACCAGTCCCGTTATGTACATACCCAAGTGCAGTTAGAAAGGAGACGAGTCTAATTGCTGCTTCAAGGCTCTTCATCGGCGTGAAATCGTTCTGCACATAAATGAATCTGAGGGAAGATATAGAGGCAGTCACGTACGTACACGAACGGCCTTGGAGCACCCCGGACTGGACGCCTGTACGATATATGGGAAGCATTATAGACGCACACGAACGGGAGCGTTGAGGTCGAAGTCCAAGTGTGGAAGGAAACGAAGAAAAGACGAAAGTGTTCGGGTCCTACCACGGCCATCAACCGCGGCGGGCCTTTCGGGGTTTCCATCCCATGTCGCCGTCGGGTCTCCGCGTTACGAAATGCGGCCAAAAATGCGGCACGACCGACCGATATAAACCCTCCTTCTCTCGCTCCTCCCACCAACGATTCAGGGCCCAGTCAATGTCAGCTCCAGCAAAGATGAAATACGGTTGGTTTCCTCACTCCGTGTAAACGCGCTATTGACTTGCACAGTGCATCTCGGCAACTCGGGGCTCAAGATCTCCAAGATCGTGTTTGGATGCATGAGCTACGGGTCGTCTTCATGGGCCAACCAGGGCTGGATCCTAGGTGAAGAGGTGGGCATTGAACATATCAAGGCTGCGTGCGTCTTTGTGGGTTCGATTGTCGGCGACTCGACTAACTTTGCAAGACAGCTACGACGCGGGGATTAACGCCTTCGATACGGCCGCAGTGAGTCCCCACACTCATCATCTCTCCCGTCTCAGCTAATCCGTTTGCCGTGAGGTGTATTCAGACGGACAGTCGGAGGAAATCCTTGGCAAGGCGATCAAGCAACACAATCTACCCCGGGACGAAATCGTCGTCATGACCAAGTTGTTTGGGTACTCTGCCTGGAATAAAATCAAGGAATCGGAGGGAGGAAGGACTACTAACCAGCGCGGGCTGAGTCGCAAGGTGCGTGATTGAACTTGAAGTTGGCAGGTAGCCACTCATTTCTCGAAGCATGTATTCGATTCTGTTCGGGACAGTCTCAAGCGACTGCAGCTGGAATATATCGATCTCCTACAGTGCCATCGGTTCGACTATGACACGCCCATCGAAGAAACAGTGCGTCGAGTTGCAAATTCGGTGATGAAGTTTGGTTCTGAGTGTCTGCAGATGCAAGCTCTCCACGATGTCGTCAAGGCTGGATACGTACGCTACATCGGGATGAGCTCTTGCTGGGCGTATCAGTGTACGTCGCTTCTCTTCGTCTTTCACGTTCCCCTGCTCATTTCACACGCCAGTCAACATTATGCAAAGTGTGTCTACCATACTTACTTCCGCTATCCTTGACTTCTTCCTAAAATTCGATTGACTAGACTACGCCGCCACGCACAACCTCACGCCGTTTATCTCTATGCAGAACCACCACAGCCTGGTATACCGCGAGGAAGAACGCGAGATGTTCCCTACTCTCAAGGTTAGTCGGCGTCACGTCGTCGTTGACCGAGCGGTTGGTTTAATCGAATTGAATCTAATATTTCTGTGGCAGCACTATGGCGTGGGCATCATCCCCTGGTCGCCCCTCGCACGCGGGGTGCTCACGCGCCCGCTCGCAGCGCAGAAGGAAACCTCTCGCGGGACGGCAGATCCGTAGGTTTTCTCTCATTAGCGTACTATGCATCCCAGCTCATCATCTATCCGCACATATAGATGGGTCAACGCGTATAACAAAGGCGGGTACGAAGCCATCGTCAACCGCGTCGAGGAGATCGCCAAGAAGCGTGGTGTGTCGATGGCGCAAATCGCGCTTGCGTGGTCTATGAGTAAGGATGGTGCGTTAGATTCAATACCTAAACCCACCCGATGGTTGAATGAGGATTTAGGTGTAACGGCGCCCATCATCGGTGCGACTTCGCTCGAGAAGCTCGCGGATTGTATCGGTTAGAAACTTTTCCGCTTCCAAGTATTTCTGATTCAACTCATCTCGCAGCGGCGGTGAATCTGGAGCTGACGGCTGAGGAGAAGACGTACCTTGAGGAACAATATGTGCCGATCGCGGTTTTCGGGCATACGTAGGGAGGGGCGCGAGGGAATAGCGAGAGTAAAGGATGTAGGTATTTAGGAAGAGTGACTGAATTGATTTGGCATTGAACAAAATGTTCAAGAGTGGGTCCAGAGTACAAACAAGGAAGAGGTGCTATGGGGTAACAGGAAAACAAAAAGGCAGCAAATTGCTTATGCTTATGCTTTGGGAGGGAATCGAACCCCCGGCGGGTCGATTAAGTGAACTAGAACAACCTTAATCATGGCAACGACCCAGGTTACCACTACCCCACCAAAGCGACGATGAGTGATGGCACATGATGAACCAGGACTATGTCTATGGTTGAACATCTTCAGTGCGATCCAACGCATCCTCGGATCGCACCGAAGATGTGCATTTTTTTCCATGAGCAAAGTGCGATGGTGAAAAAAAAGAAGAAAAAAACTGCGGCCGCCACCGGTGCCCGCCGTTCAAAGTGGCTGTACTCTATCACGTGCCGCCGTACGCCTTCTTCCAGTGCCACTCAAACTGCGACTGATGCCTTGCTTTGGCTCGTGGCAAGAGCATCCGTACGTAAAAGCCGAGCAGGATAAAACCTGCGGCGGGCCTCTTTACACCCACCTTCTCCCCTCGAAGCAAGAACCATGGCAAGTGCAACGACTCCCGTCCCGGACCCTAAGAAAATGAAATACGGTGTGTACCTTCGCCGCGTCGAGTCCACATAGTCTGAGGCCCGATGCAGTCCGCCTCGGAAACTCGGGGCTCAAGGTATCCAAGCTCATCCTTGGATGCATGAGCTACGGCTCGCCTGAGTGGACGGGCCAGAGCTGGATTCTGCCTGAAGAGGTTGGGATCGAGCATATCAAGTTTGCGTACGTCGACGTGGCTACTCGGACACTGTAACTGAGTGCTTGGATAGGTACGACGCAGGCATCAACGCGTTCGACACCGCTGCCGTTCGTTCTCATTCTCCCTTGTCCTTGTCTGCAGCTTAAGTTCAGCCATAGATCTACTCCGACGGCCAATCCGAAGAGATCCTGGGCAAGGCGATCAAGCAGCACAACATTCCCCGCGATGAAATCGTCGTCATGACCAAGATCACATTCCGCTACGCGCCCTGGAAGAAGCGCTCAGAGGCTGACGGCGGCCGCAGTACGAATCAGTACGGGCTCAGTCGTAAGGTACGTACTCTTCGGCCAGGTCGGGTCTTAGTATCCACGGACTCACTGGCTGTGGACAGCACATATTCGATTCGGTGCGCGACAGCCTCAAGCGGCTGCAACTCGAGTATATCGATTTGCTGCAATGCCACCGGTTTGACTACGATACGCCTATCGAGGAGACTGTGCGTCCGTTCTCGTGCGCTGCAGTGTAAACTCACGCGGTCCGACAGATGCAAGCCCTGCACGACGTAGTCAAGGCGGGATATGTGCGCTACATCGGCATGAGCTCGTGCTGGGCGTATCAGTGTACGCTTCATCCTTTCTGTCTTTTGGTCGATAATCTGATCTCGAATAGTCCACATCATGCAGAGTGCGCTCCATCTCTCTTTGCTCTTTGAACGTGCTAATTCTCAACTGACTCCAGACTACGCAATCACACACAACCTCACACCCTTCATCTCGATGCAGAACCACCACAATGTCGTTTATCGCGAGGAAGAACGCGAGATGTTCCCTACTCTCAAGGTCCGCTTTCCCCCTCCCTCGCTCACATGCGCATCCCATGTTGAACCAAAATTTTCTAGCACTTTGGCGTAGGCATCATCCCCTGGTCGCCCCTCGCGCGTGGGACCGTAACGCGCCCGCTCGCAGCGCAAAAAGGCGGCGAGAGCAAGACGGATCGTGGGAGTGGAGATCCGTATGACCTCTCTCCTTGTTCCGAATCGTCTTGGCTAAAAACTCTGCGCAGGTTGATCGGTGTGTACGAAAACGGCGGCTTCTCGCCCATCGTGCAGCGCGTCGAGGAGGTCGCAGGGAAACGTGGGGTGTCGATGGCACAGGTTGCGTTGGCGTGGAGTATGAAGAAAGATGGTGGGGTCTCTTCTTTTCTTTTGCCTTTGCCTTTCCTTCCTTCTCCCCTCCCTCTCCTGAACTAAGATACTTATGCCACGCAGGGATCACAGCGCCCGTAATCGGCTCGACTTCAACAGCCAAGCTCGCCGATTGCATCGCTGCGGTCTCGTTGCAGCTGACGGACGAGGAGATGAAGTACCTCGAGGAGCCGTATTTGCCGGTTCCTGTTTGGGGGCATGCTTAGGGTTGTTGTTAGTTCTGCGCTCACTGGTATGTATAGGAAAATCCATGCGTGCATCTACGTATCTGTGTATGAAATTTGAACAAGAGGCTGCGGCCACGTCTGAGCCTCGTTTTGTCGGCGATGACTTGAGCTTCCCACTTGGTGACCGGCCCGGTCGTGATGAAAGAGTGTAAGAGTGCGCATACAACCCTGTTGCTTAGAAGTTCTTTCTCCCCGATTCAGAGGAACTGTGGGTCAGGTCTGCGACGGGATCTTTGGCGAGAGGAAACACCGGGCTCTACCGCCACGGGTAAGGAGAAAACAGCTGCCGCGCAAGAGGCTCGATGAACACGAACATGCATCCGAGGCCACAAGAGTCGAGACAGAGGCACCGGGGCTTCAGTTTTTTTGCATCGCCTTCGCGTGCGCGCCTCAGTCGAGCTATGCGGCGAAGGCATTCGGAAAACCCCAGGAAAAGCAGTTGGTGGCAAGATGGAGGTCGGAAGAGATTCGCAAATGATGCCACGAACCCCCATAATGTCAACCGAAGACACGAATGAATTTGTTTGTAGTACACTCGGAAAGCTGGATGGAGAGATGTGTACAGATGGATGACTATCGAGGGTGTACTACATGGATGCGTGTGAGGATGAGAATTAATGTGGGTACAAATTGATGTAAGAGGTCAAAAGGTCCGAGTACAAGTCCATGAAAAAGTCCAACGTGATGCAGTGTTCGTCGATAGCGTTGCGTGAATTGAATTGTCGAACAGGTCGTGAATCGTATTGGGTGGAGGGAAGGACACGCTCAGAACGCAATGCCGGAACCCTGGATGGTGAACTCGGGACTAAAGTTACCCGAGTCGCCGAACACTATTCCGATTCGCCTCAGTTCAAGTCCGAGAAATATGCGAGTGGAGGTACTCACAGACGAGCTGATAGTCGCTGCCCTCGACGACGAGCGGGACCTTGACCTCAATGCGGCCGAGGAGGATGTCAAAGTTGTCGGCGAGGATCACTAATGACGTCAGTCTCAGTCTCAGTCTGCCTGAAGGAAGGAAACGCACAGGGAGTCGTCAAGTCAGTCTTGCGGAGGAAGATCATCCCGATTTTGTTGGTGATCTGGGCGGGGGCGTTGGAGGTGTCCCTGAGACGAGTGAGATCGAACACATCGGACAAGAGGCAAAAAGAACGCACCAAGTAACATTGTGCGTCTGTCCGGAGACCCAGACGGTGCCTGCATGAGGGTACGTCACAGGCGGGGTGAAGACGTCGCGGGTCGTGAGAGGCACAGCGGCCGCGTTGGCCGCAGCGGCGAGGAGGGCGGTGAAGAGGGCGGCGCAGGTGAATTTCATTGCGAGGGTCGTGGGTGGTAAGGAGAAAGAAACGAGATGAGATGTGGAGAACGAAGAATGCAGATGAGCGGAAAGGTGCTGGAGAATGGTTGGAGCCGAGCGGAGGCTTTTATACAATTGGTTCGCTTCGGGGTATGGACAGGGATCGCCGTGGGTGGTGCTAATTACTTCATGTTCCGGGCCTGCTGACAGGAATAGAAGCACGGCAGCGAGGCAGTGGAGGTCCGGGTGGAGCCAAGATGGCCCTCGGCTCACCCCGGCAGCCACCAAAGTCGATAAGAGAACCGCACCGGGGCCTGAACACGGTCAATAATGGCCTGGGCCTAACCAGCAATGGAAAGCTCGCAGTACGGAGGGGGAACTTCCTTAAGCGAGCCTGGGAGAATAGCGGCATGGAATGCCCGTTGCACTGCTTCGGACCCCTGGGCGTGGGGTGTGCAGAGTTTCGGGGTGCGTTTGGGTCTGAGGCATGGCTGAGAGTGGGGCTGGGCTGAAACGTCGGCGAGTGTGGGTGGCCGTTGGGCGGCGGGGCGGCGGCGGTGGCGGGAGGTGCAGAGAGGCTGGGTCAGGTGATCCATCGGCATCGGACCGAATGACATTGCTTACGCGAAACTGTGTATGTGTGTCTCCGAGCCTCGGAAATGGTGGGTTCAACACAGATTGCAAGGGCTGGCCCCAATAGGAGCCGAGTCGCAAATTTCTCCATTATACCTTCGGGCTTCGAAGTGCAGAATTCCAGTTCAACCCTTGGCAAGGTGTTTAGACCAGATGACACCATGAAGCTTGCCTTGCCGCCACCTTCGGTGCTTCCAGTTGGTGCTGTCACGCCTCTCACTACTCACAAAATTTTCGTTCTCGGACTGATGCTCCTCGTCAAGGATAAAGATACCCCTCCGCGTGCGTTGCTTTTCGAATTCTTTCAACTTGGATTAACGTCACGCGCTAGGAATCGACACATCGAAGTTAAGGTCTTCCTCGGAACGGAAGGGTGCAAATATCAGCTCATACCTGCGTTGCACATCCTTGCGCAGAATTGAGCAGCTTATACCTAGGAACACAACAGTAACGGCCCACGGGCGATTCAACAAATATGAGTGCGGCGTTCACGTTATAGCATCAATCGAACCAGGAATCTTCATTTCCAAGATCGGCATCCGCAGTTCGACCCAACCGCAGCATGTACTCGATCGCATACGGATAATCCAGTGGATTCCGAACGAACCGGCATCTCCGTGACGGCCTGCAGCACCACGAAGTGAGTATCACGCCGTCACGTTTGCTTTTAATAGCGAATGTGGACAGGTTTCAACGTGCCCAAGTATGTAGAAGGTCTAGCTGCGGCATTCTCGCCCAACGATCTCAGATCACTGTATTTACTCAATCCGTGCCCCAATGAATCCTCCGGCTGTAAATCTCAACCATTGATCTCTGCCGTCGAACCGTGGGACTCGGATGTGATTACTGATGGGTCTCACTCTCGGGTGACCGGCAGCAAGCGTGAATCAAGTTTGAACCTGACGGCGTATGTATAAGCTTACTTCCATTTCTGATTTTTCGACGCGCTGTCCGAGTCGAATCTATTTGCAATGTTTGGAGCTCCGGAAATGACAATATTAATCTTAAAATTTCCAAGTATGCGGCGACTGAATGCCGCCGCCGTGGGCTGGAACACTTGCCACAAATTTACAGTCCAATCGCCGTTTGCA